AGCAATTGAGTAAAGAAATATATAAATCTAATACATTCCCTAAGAACTGGTAGTATAAATCACGAGCTTCTAAGAATAGAGTTTACAAAGCGGAAATGATAAATATACATAGTCTGTTTGAATAGTACATAAATAGAATTTCACAGATCTAAAGCTACCACGAACAAGAGGCAGCTACAGCCGGGATGCAAGTACATCTTCAATCCAGCTCCTATCGAACACAACATCATCAGCAGCCAACATCTGCTCGCAAGGTGCAGAAGTGTAGTATGAGTACAACCGACCCCATGTACTGAATAAGTAAAAAACCTAACCTTAGGTTGAAAGTAGTGACGAGATTGTACCAAGGCCGGGTCCACACCAATAGCCAACAACAATCCATAACAACTTAAAGCAAATAATACAAGAAGTAACTCAAAGATAAAAATGCTCAGCAAAATCATGATTTCTAAAAATGGTTCTGCCTTTCAAGTATATCAGTGAAAACCCAAATCGTTTACCGAAGTTGCCAAAAATATGAATAAGTTTGAAAACAATAATTTTTCCCAAAATTCTTTCAATAATAAATAAGATGTTTCATTTTCTTTCTAGATAACAAGTGTGAAATACCTATCTATGCCCACATATCAATGTGTGTAAAATGTCATGGATGACGTGATACCGTACAACATGAGGAAAAATGCATCTCTATGCCTGTATGTCATGTGTGCATGCCAATGCCATGTATCTTAGAGATGAATCATGTACTCACACTCTCAGAGTACTCAATCTCACTGTCTTACACTTTTCACTCATCATGCTCACCTACTCGGTACTGTATATGGCCCATACGACCTTGGGAAGATCCATCCTAGAATATATACATCACTGACCATCAATCACTCAGTACCGAGGAAGGCCAATCCGGCCCCATGGAGAAGATCCATCTCCAGGTATATAAATGCTTCGGACAAGATCCATGTCCAGGGAAGATCCATCCCTTAATATAATCAACCGCGCTCACTAGGAGATGTGTACAGACTCCGGAGGGACTCCTACAGCCCAAGCGCTATCATAAGCTAGATCCAGGCATAAATCAATATAGCATACTGCTGCGTGTAGCCCGATCCTATAACTATCACTCATAATCAGGCTCTCGGCCTCACTCAGTCATCAAACTCTCCAGTCTCACTCACGGGCTCACAATGTCATGAAACTAGCCCGACAACAATGATATGATGTATCAATAAATAACAACTTAGACTGAGATATGATATGAATGCATGAATATGACTGAGTACGAAATATCAATGAAATCAGTGAAATGACAGCAAGAAACGACCACTATGGGTCCCAACAGTATCGGTACAAAGCCTAAACATGATATCTAGCATGATTGACAGCTCAATTACTTTATCACATGGTGAAAATACGGATATCAACAAAATAAGGCCACTTACAGTGCCATGGAAACAACAGAGTCCCAATTCACATGGTGCATGCCCACACGCCCGTCACCTAGCATGTGCGTCACCTCAACACAAATCACATAACACATATTTCAGGGTTTCATACCCTCAGCTCCAAGATTAGAAGAGTTACTTACCAATACCGAGCAAGCCAAGCGATGCTCCAAAGATGCCATCCCGCGCGTTTCGACCTCTGAACGGCTCGAAACTAATCAAAAATAACTCAAATGCATCAAACAATGCTAAAGGAACCAAATCCCGATTGAAAAAGATCAAATCTTGAATCAAAAGCCCAAAATCGGCCAAAAACCCAACTCGGGCCCACACATCGGAACCCGACAAAATTTATAAAACCCGAAAGCCCATACACTCATGAGTCTAACCATACCAAATTTATCAAAATCCGACACCATTTGGTCATCCAAATCCCCAAAATTCACTCTCAAATTCTCAAGCCCTAAACCCCCAAATTTTACTTCAAAATCTCACTAATTAGGTGGGGAAATCACTGGGGAAACAAGTTTTATGATCCAAAATGAGTACAAGAAGTTTACCTCTATAATCACCTCGAAAATATTCTGCATAATCGCCTAAGTCCGAGTCCAAAATGTTGAAATAAGACTAAAATTGCGAGCCCTTGCTTATAAACTTTCTGCCCATACTTTTCGCATCTGCGGGCCTATTGTCGCACTTGCGACGCCGCATCTACGGTGAAAATGCCGCTTCTGCGGAAGTCACTTGCTCCTCTAGGGCCCGCACCTGCACTCCAGGTTCCGCACCTGCGAACGCGCATTTGCGCGCCTGGCCTAGCTTCTGCGGAGTCAATCTCTCTTAGCTGCCCCCGCACCTGCGTCTACTTGTCCGCATCTGCGCTACCGCATGTGCGGGAAATTCTTCGCACCTGCGATCCTTGTCCTTCATGGCCTTGCCCGCTTCTGCGGCCAATTATCCGCATCTTCGGACTCGCATATGCGCCCACTCTTCCGCAGATGCGGAAACACTAGAACCAGAAATCTTAGCAAAAATCCAAAATACAATGAAATGATCTGAACCTTGTCCGAAACTCACCCGAGCCTCTTGCAACCCCATCCGATTATACCAACAAGTTGCATAACACGATACGGACCTATCGAGGCCTCAAAACACACATAACAACATTAAAATGACGAATCACACGTCAAATCAAAATCTATGAACTTTGAAACTTCAAACTTCCACGACCAATGCCGAAGCCTACCAATCACGTCCGATTGACCTCAAATTTTGCACACAAGTCACATTCGACATTGCAGACCTGCTCTAACTTCCGAAATTAGAATCCGATCCCGATATCAAAAAGTCCACTCCCGGTGAACCTTTCCAAAATTTTAACTTTCGCCATTTCGAGCCAAATTCAACCACGGACCTCCAAATCACAATCCGGACGCGCTCCTAAGTCCAAAATCACCCAACGGAGCTAATATAACCATCAAAATTCCAATCCGAGCTCAAATGCTAAAAAGTCAAACTTAGTCAACTCTCCCAATTTAAAGCTTCAACAATGTAATCCATTCTTCCAATTCAATCCCGAATAACCTGAAAAATTAAAACCGACGATTCACATAAGTCAAAATATATCATACGGGGCTACTCACACTCGTAAACTACCGAGCAAAGTGTAAATGCTCAAAATGATCGGTCGGGTCGTTATAGAGATATTAGACTATAGCACGTTAGTTGTCCGTGCAACACGTGAGTTGTCCATGCGGGTCCATATATTATACTATAGCACGTGAGTTGTCCGTGCAGTACGTGAATTATCCGTGCGGATCGAGATATTATAGTATAGCACGTGAGTTGTCCGTACAGATTATAGCGCTTGGGCTGTAGGAGCCCCTCCGGAGTTTGTACACACCCCAATGAGCGCAGGTACCTACTGAGTGCGAGTGTTGAGTACTGAGCTAGTGGAAGGACTGAGTGGCCATGGTCCTGAGAGGATACATTTGATTTCATTATTGTTGCACTTCAACTGTCATATATCACTGTTTGAATATTTATGAGATATATTATCTTATGTTTCACTTGAACATGACATGAAATTACTGTTTTGACTTTAAATGTTGAACTTGAAAGCATGACTACCTTGTTATGTTGGAAATTATTGTAATTGGGCTCAGCTGTGAAGCTCGTCATTACTTTAAGTTCTTTATTTAGTATTGTTACTTGCTGAGTTGGTTGTACTCATACGACACCCTGAACCTCGTGTGCAGATCCAGGTGCTTTCGGATACGACGACTGCTAGTTCTCGAAGTTTTATCTGTTGGAGATTATCGAGGTAGCTGCTTGACGTCCGCAAACCTTGACTCTCTTCCCTTTCAGTTTTGTACTGTTCTAAATTTTTAGATAGTGTTTTTAGCAGTCAAACTTTATTATCCTTTAGATGTTCATGTACTCAGTGACACCGGGTTTTGGGAGTGTATTTATATCTAGTATTTGTGAAAATTTTCTCTTAAAGTTAATTATTATGTTTTGAGTATTTAAAAGATAAATGTGGGTTATTGATGTTGTCTGCTTGCCTAGTATTGAGATAGGCGCCATCACGACAGGTGTGATTTTTGGATCGTGACAGAACTAATTTAGTCATGTGAACAAATTTGAGAATTTACACTTTCTATGTCATTATACTAACATCTAAGCTCTTTGTAGTACTCGTGATATCTTGTTGTGAAATCAATTAAACAATTTTTTGGATATTAATATTGGCTAAGATTAACTCTATTGTATTAGAAAATTTAATTGTGTAAATTTAGATCTAAATTTTGGTTCAAACAATTTTTAGGATACTAACACTGTTTACTTAAAGTTTTCCAATTATGTAATGTCATTTTTATCAACTCGCACCTTCACGATTAGTTTCCATAGCCAAAAGAAATTTCTTTCTCTGCAATTGTTCAAAATAGCATCATCTTTTCCACATCTTTCATTTTCCAATGTCAGTTGAAAAACCTTTCTTTTTTTGAAGAGTAAAATGAAAATATACAGGTTTCCAATGTTTTATTCACCGGGAAGTCCGACTTTGGCTCACAGTAATAAATTATGTTTTTATGTAAAAGCTTTATTTTCAATATCAATTTTACACTTAGTTTACATAATTTCTTAATTCAAACATTAACATCAAAATTATTCAGTCACATCAAAACATTAACCTAGGAGGTCACAGATTCGAGCCGTGAAAGCAATCTGTGACAGAAATTTAGAGCAAAACTGCGTAGAATAGACCTTTTTGGTCCGACCCTTTCCCCCACCCTATGCATAGCGGGAGCTTAGTACACCGAATTGCCCGTTTAATTTCTAAAACTTTTAAGATATTTATATTTAATAAAAACCAATTTACTTACATCTGAAATAAAACTTTTAAGATATTTATATTTAATAAAAACCAATTTACTTACATCTGAAATCTGAATATCAACATGGTCTGGACACGTGGAGTCACGATGAATCTTTATCTTCGAATGTTGTAACGGCTACTTTCTCTGCTTTATTTGCTCCTCTCTTTCCACATAAGCTAAGCAATCTCCATAGCAACCTTTAAACTTCCAATTTCAGACAAACCAAAATTTTCAGAATTATGAGCACCTATGGAGATCCGTTGGTGATCGTAATTGAGCATTTGCAGTGTTCCATGTCCAAAGATTTGCTCTGCAAATTTCCAGACAACTCCGCATTCGATTTCGACTATACCCAGAGTTCTATTTGGTCTCCTCTAGTACCTCGACCGTTGTCTGCACAGCGTAGAATGAGCTCGGGTCTATCGCGAAAGCTGTCGTACGAGGATGTCTCAGCAGGCTGTATCGGCGCAGCCAATTTCAAGAAAGTGACTGCAAAAATCAAGAGGAAGTTCTCCACTGCTGTGTCTGAGAATATGAAAGAATATCAGAAGTTGAAGAAGAGAAAGAAGAAGGCTTTTGATTTCACTTCTCCAACCCCAAGAAAGGTACTAATACGAATCTAAGCTCTTGGCTGCTGATTTTGCTTAGTTTTTCTTTTTCTTAATTTTTTTTTGTTAATTTTCTAGTCGTCAAGAACGAACTTGACGGTAAAATTGTTATCATATGTCTAAGGAAGTCACGAGTTCAAGTTATGAAAATAGTCTTTTGTAGAAATGCAGGGTAAGATTGCATACAATAGACCCTTGTGGTCCGGCTCTTCCCCAAACCCCGCGCATAGCGAAAGGTTAGTACACCGAGCTACCCTAATTTTCTAGCCGTTAACTATATTATGTTGTTATGTGCAGGGGTGTGTTAAGGTACTGAAAGCAGTTTCTAAGCATTTCAAGAAGAAGAAGAACAAGAAAGATTCCAAAGCTGATGTTAATTTTTCCAAATGTTCGACTGACTATAGTCTCATGCGAAGCTCTACATATCCATAATCTGTATGCTATTTGTATTGATTTTGTGGAGGTTTTGGGGGGTGAGAGGCAAGAGGATTTGTCTTGTTTATTTAAGTATTTACTAGTTTTAGTGATTTGTAATACCTGAATTTCCACTAAATAAGCAGATATATACTGCTTAAGAGTGCATTTGTTGCAAATAACAAGTGTTTCTCCACTGTAAAAGCAATTATACTATCATTGCTAGTAAAAGATGGAGCTTACTGGCTCTGACTTTGTAACAGTATGAATTCTTAAATGCTAAGTATTTTTTGTGCTACTAAAATTTAATTGATGATATTGAAGCAAAAGTTTGATCACTAGTGAATAGTTTTTTTTTTTTTTACCATTNCCCCCCCCACACACACACACCAAATCCCAATGAAGCTTCCAAATTAAAGGGATTTGAATGACAAAGTTTATATATAGACCAATAAGAGGCTTGCTGCTTAAGTAGAAAAATGGTTTCAAATTAAAGTTGCAATCTGCCAACTGATGCATAAGGTTCCAGATTAATAAGAATTGAATCTGGTAGAACTATATTGGCCAGCTTTCTTCAATTAATTCTTTCATCTTAATATATGTGTTTCACTTGATTTGGACAGCTTGTCGCTATTGCAATTGTTATTGATTCCTTCCATCTATTTTTCTGGTTCTTACATTATTGTTATCATTTTTCTGACTTTTGTTGTTGATATTTGATTGTTTCTATTCATCCTCTCGAGTCAAAGGTCTTTCAGAAACAATCTCTCTACCTCCCCAAGATGGGGATAAAGTATGCGTATACACTACCCTCTCCAAACCTCACTTATGAGATTTTAGTGAGTTTATTATTATTGTACTTAATTTGGACACGGCTACAAAAGTAAATGGAGACTCTATTCTGTTCAAAGGTAAAGGATCTAAGTGGGCATTTGGACATAAGAATTGTAAAATTCCAGAAAAAAATGAAAAACTTTTTTAAGTGAAAATGATATTTGAAAATTGGAGTTATATTTGGACACGAATATAATTTTGGGTTATTTTTGATTTGTTGTAAGTGATCTCAGTGAAAATTTTGAAAAATAATTTTTTAGAGTTTTTCAAATTTTTGAAAAATTCCAAAATTCATTTTCAAGTAAAAATTGAAAATTTTATGGCCAAACACTGATTTCGAAAAAATGTGAAATTGTTTTTCATGGCCAATCAGGCTCTAAAAATGGAGATTAAATATCAATATGACAAATACAGATAATTGTTCGGAATAAAAAGTTGTTAAAGTCTCTCTATAGGAAATTTTCTTTGTGAATATTCTAAAAAAATTATGAAACATCTCTTGAAACTGCAAGAAATTTGGTGTTTAAAACTTTAAATAAGAGTACAACTCTTCACTATTTGATTGTTCAAGCGGCTAGAAGTTGTAGGGGAGCAAAGTATTTAACACAAAATATTAGTATATGTTGGCCTGGACCAAACGCTTTGGGCCAACTCTTCACCTGATGAAATCAGCTTAGACCTTAAGAAAGTGGACGGGCATTGACAGGCACATTTATTGTGTACGGAGAGAACAATCTTTTGCAATCTTGCTTGCATTGGCTAAACTCAAACAAGTGGGAGAAGGGATTATTGTGCCTGACCTTAGCGGGGTTCAAACCAGAACCGAAGCCGAAAACCGAACTGAAACCGAAGTTTAATGGCTTATTGGTATCGGATTAACGGTTTAACGGATGCGAAACGAATTAAATTTTTTTTATTAACGACTTATCGGTTTGGGGGCGGATTATTCAATTTTTTTAACGGATAATCCATTAACCCGTTAAGAATATATATATATATATA